ATTTTATTTTTAAAAAAAAAAAATACAACCTATTTTGTGAGACAGTTTTAATACTGTATTATATATATATATATATATATATATATAGAAATTCTTTAACACATCAACTCTTTAAATTAAGATTTATCAACTTTCTGGAATAATCTCATTTTTTGTTTAATGTTAGGATTTATGATCAAGTTGAGAGAATGGCCACGGGCTGAAAATAAGCACTAAGTAAATCTATTATCAAATTTTTATAAGAACAGTGTCACAATAATAACCGAACTATTGGTGTATCAAATATGTGTAGCTGATACACTTATTTTACCAGATTAAAATGTATAGTTTAATGCAGTACTCATATGCTAAGCATCCAAATATTAAATTTACAATTGATGAACAAAAAGAATGTTATAATTTCTTGTTTGACAGATTACTTGGATAAATCATTGAACAAGGATTATCATAAGTCTACCTTCTATGGTTTATACTTTAATTTTGACAGTTTATCCACATTCATCTTAAAGAGAAAGTTGGTTACACTTCAGTGCATAAAGCCTGTATGATTTTCAGTAATTTTGTATACCTTTATCCTAAAATTGAGAACATCAACGTTTTTGCAGCAAAACTTTATCATTCCTGATGAACAATGTAATAAATTATCATATGAAAGTCTTCACCTCTATAGTCAAAACTATGTTAAAATCTCTAAGATGTTGCCTATTTCTAGACCACAGGCTTTTAGTTTGAAAAGGAAATCATAGAAGTTTTTACAGATTGTTTATCTTCAAATATTTACAAATTTTATTTAAATAATTTTCTAGGATACAAAGATGGAAATAAAACAATCTGACACTTTCTTTTTGCACTGATTCGCATGTATTTGATGCAAGAAAATACTTAACAAGACACTGATTAATCTGATGACCATAGCTATAAAAAAAATCTCTAGCTTAGTATCTTTTGCCACCTTGACTGCAACTGGTATAATTAATAGTTACTCTGTCAATTTAAAACATTCTAGCAATAAAAAACCTTTAAATATTGAGGAATCAATAATAATTTATCTTAACTTAAATTTTAATCAAGTCTTTATATCCATTAATGTTGAAAAGTAGCAAGATTAACCACTGACTTTACCAATACTTAACTAACATTAACAAGAGGTAGCAAATTTATGTATTACAGCATGATTTGAAGATACAATAATTCTAACCATCTTGTTGTCTATTGAGAATTTGTAATATATCTAATTAATACTATTACTATAATTTAATATAAAGAAGTAAGAAAGAAATTAACTAGAGCAAGGCATTATTTGAAAATGAAAACTAAAATCATTGTACTTTCAAGTTTCAGATATTTTATACATGAATTTGCCATCACTATAAGAGGGGAAAGCACAAAATCTCTGAAAATACTGTCTAGTTAAAAATAATAGAAAATTTAAAAAAGCCATATCTCCAAGTCTAGTTAATTTTCAGCACTTTTCAGATCAATGAGGATCACACTATAGCTTAGGCTTCACAAAATTCATAATTATACCGAAAATGGTTTGAAATTGGTTGTAGTAACTACCTTACAAGTTATATTACAATGTTACAACATACGTGAAGTTTCATTGCTTTTGGAAGACCAGATTTATCTTAACAAACTAGAGGTTTAACTTTTACTTTTAGCATACTACTGTCAGTGTCACTGCACTGCCCAGTGTGCAGTTTAATTATCCATAGAAAATTAAATTTTTAATACCCGTTTCAAATTCTACATTGAGCTTAAAAAAGTAACTGACAGTGACACTATAGAAACAAACTACCCAATATCAAGGCTACAAATTTAATTAAGTAAAAAATGGACATGGCCAAAGAAGAAAAGTAATACTAATAATCATTGTCTGAATTTTAAGACTTACAAATTCCATATAATAATTTTTAGCACAGTGCGATAAATGAAATGAGTACGAAAAAGTAACAGTATTGTCTTAACACCATTATCGGCAACCATAACCTGCTTAAGGTCTTTTAAATTTCATTGTTACAATACGTTTTTAACAACATAAAGTTAAACGCCAACGCAAAACGACAACGGACAAGCAAGTCTAACGTTAATACACAGTATTTCCACTATTGGTACTGCTAGTAGTTTAGTTACCAAAGCTGAACCTAACATTTACATTACATTACATCGTACAAAATTGTGACTTTACTTACCAGTCAAATAGAAATTTGAAATTCACAGCATTCTTCCGATTTTCGTTGCCGATAGAGAAAACTTTACAAATTTTCTTAGATTACCCCTAGACCTTTGTACAAACGCCAAGCAACCTCCCAAGATATGAACCCGGCTAATACTGCGATTATATCTCCTCCTGAAATTCCGGTGCCAGGAAGTAGTTTAGTTGAATTACTTTCACATACCTTAACAAAACGTATTAAGCCTATAGTTGCATTATTTTATTTTATTCTTTTACTACTGAGAAAAAATTAGATTCCACTGTAACTAATTTTTTTAATGGAACATAAATATTTGAGGGAGGTCAAATAATGCAATGAACAGCCAATACAGCTAGCAACCAACAGCGTTACTCATCCTAGGCGTGACAAGTGACGTCATCAAAGACTGGAGGTAACTGAACTGCATTGTTTAAAATATTTTTTAGACAGCTGCATAAAAATTTTAGACCTGTTGTTATAAAAATTCTCATAGTGATTTTATACAATGAATTATATAGATTATATTAAAAGGACGTATGATTATCTTACGATAATACAAACAGCACACTATTACCACCACGCACGTTTTGTAATGCTAGTTTATCAAAGCGAAACTTTTCACTATTTAATGAATAAATCAGAATTTCAGTTCTGTCAAGCTTGAAAGTTATTAATTGAAGAATACGTTTTCTTCATGTACATTTTCATTCTAAACTTTTGAAGATCAATTAAGTATTCCATTACTTTGTCAAATGATTAGATGACATAAATGGGATTTCTAAGTACGATCCTAGTTAGAAATAGAAGTAAGCGTGCAGCTTTTATTTTTGTAATTATATATAATATTTAATGCCGAATGCAATCGTAATGTGGTGCACAAAGGAAAAATGAGATGTACGCACCAAAATACCAACGTAGATAGCGAAGAATATACCATTACAATAGTTCAAATGAACGATAACAAAAGATGGATTATGTTTCAACATAAAGTACACTTTCTGCGTTGTATTTACTTTCTGTTTCCACAATGGTCACTTCTTTTTCTCGTAATATGTATGTTAGCGCTAAAGCATGTTGATGTGTGGCTACTGAGAAATCGGAATTCTTAAACTACTTTTCTGTTTGACCAACATAATATATCATACATATTGTTCGTACTTGTACAACTTGGTGTACAAAATTTAAAAAAACAAAAAACATTCATACTAATTCGATGTGTTTGTTTGTTTATTTTTGAATTTCGCGCAAAGCTACACGAGGGTTATCTGCGCTAGCCGTCCCTAATTTAGCAGTGAAAGACTAGAGGGAAGGAAGCTAGTCATCGCCACCCACCGCCAACTCTTGGGCTACTCTTTTACCAACGAATAGTGGGATTGACCGTACATTATAACGCCCCCACGGCTGAAAGGGAGAGCATGTTTGATGAGACTAGGATTCAAACCCGCGACTCTCAGATTACGAGTCAAGCGCACTATCCTCCTGTTTAACTCTGCCCACCACGGGTATCGAAACCCGGTTTTTAGCAGTATAAGTCCGCAGACACACCGCTGTGCCACTGGAGGGCACTAAATCGACAAAAAAACAAAAAAATACGTACGAATATAATCTTGGGTTTGTTGCTGTGTTCTGTAAACTGTAAAAAATATAACACTATGAATGACAGCGACTATTGGAAGGAATGTGGTTTAATTTCATGTTATTTAGAACCACTTTTGTGGGGAAAAGTTGCACAATGAAGTGCTGCAGAAGCGCTATCTCTTGAAGAGAATTAACATTTTTGGAGAAATTTTTGCAAACTTCTACTATTACTCAGTCAAATTAATCTAACTTTAAATAGAAATATTTTTCTGTTTATTGATACCGTTCATCTCGAAAAAATTACTGATGGAACAAAGATCGTTACCAGAAAATATACAATAAATAGACTATTACTGAAAACACGCCCAAACATAACATAAAATAAGCGTATAGAACGTATGCTGGTCCACTTTTCTCATCTATATAAAGTTTTTCTTTGTTATTTGGTAGTATTTCTTATATACAATCAACCTGGCTGGACTAATAAGAACTGGTATATCTCAAAACTGAGACACTCTACTTCATATGCGGCCCCCCCCCAGTGGCACAGCGGTATGTCTGTGGACTTACAGCGCTAGAAACCGGGTTTCGATACCCGTGGTGGGCAGAGCACAGATAGCCCATTGTGTAGCTTTGAGCTTAAATTTCAAATAAAGAAACAAAACTTCATATGAAATGGGTTTTCTAGCTAATAATTGCTTAAAATGTATTACATTTATAAATACCAAAGGTTATTCTAGCAGGAAAGCTGTACAGCCTCTAACACTCTGTTGGGATGAAATATTATAAAAATGAGCGTGCAAGAAAAAAGCTTCAATCATAAATCCACAACTATATAATAATATAAAGCTTCTGTGTATAATATTCCTTATAATCAACTTACAACGAGTTTGTGGGTGGAACGGGTGTAAGGAATACAGAAGTTAACAGAAATGTAAGATGTATATAATTTTTTAAAATTTAAACAGTGCATCACTACTAATACAGTCTTGGCCAAAATGTTTGCGTACTGTTCTATATTGATGTTATCGTATACAAACATGGATTAGTTATTAAATAGTAACAGAGAAGGTATCGTATGATCATTCAAACATGTACGATATCTTATTCTGGTCTCTATAAGTTATTTTGATCATTTGTTCATCAAAACACACAAACGCATCTGTTTTATATAAAAGGGTGTGTTTTTGATATGATCTTTTTTCGAAACAGATCAACGCTTTGTTCAGACAATTTTTCCGTATTCGGTGTCAGTGTAGAGTCATGCCTCGTCACGTGCCGGAAGTTATAGGGTGTCAAATTGTTCGACTGTCCAGAAATGGGATGAAGCAAACGGACATTGCCTGAAACGTCATCGGACTACAGGAAACGTTGTTCCAGGAATGTCTACTAGTAGATGCCGAAAAACTACTGTTCAAAATGACTGTGTTTTGATCAGGTTAACACGTCAAGGTCGAAAGATGTCTTGCAACATCTTACGACAAGAATAGCATGAACACATTCATTCCACAATATCCAGAAGAACAGTAAACAGGAGACTGACCAAACAAGGTTATTTTGCCAGAAGGGCTATGTGCAAACCAGTATTAACAAGAATTCACCGCCGTCACCGTGCTACTTGGGCAAGTGAGCATGCCAACTTGCAGTTAGGACACTGGCGACATGCCATCTTTTCAGATGAGCCCTGTTTCTGGCTTGTTAAAGCTGATGGTGATATTCATATTTGGTGGAAAACCTGCTCTTCATATCCTCCAGAAAAACGTCAATGGCGCCACCTAAAAGCATAACATGGAGAGATATTTCTGCAATATGCTAGAGCAAGGTTCGGCAATAACTTTGTGTTCCAGGATGACAATGCCACTGCCCATTGCAACTCAGCTAAGGTATAACTCAAGTAGCTGGTTTAGGGTCATGGTTAGCAATCTTGAAGCTCAGTTCTGCCCAACAGCTCTCAATGGGATTAAAATATGTAGACTTTGCTGGCCATGACAATCTGTTAAGTCCTCCTGGTCGAGATAATCCTGTATAATACGTGCACTGTTCGAGTGACAATTTGGGATGAAATCACAGTGAATTACGTGAACAACCTCATTGGCAGGATGCCACGTCGCCTTGCAGAGGTTATTAGCGTACGAGGAGGACCAACCAAGTACTGAATGCTTGATATGAACTGATATAAAGTGTAATAAATTGAGGTTATATTTTCTAATTATATATGTTTGGGTAAGGTTTTGTTGTGATAGGTGAAATGCTGAATTACACAACTTTCTACAAATACATTATACAAATCACATATATAGATGTTTAGTTTGTTTGTCTGTTTGCAGTTGAG